TGAGAGTGGGTGTTGTGAGGGGGGAAATGTGTGGAGTGTGGAAGGGGGAAGTGAGATGAGAGTGTGAGAGTGGAGTTGGAGTGTGGTGTGAGTGTGAGGTGTGAGTGGAGAGTAAAGGTGTGAAGTGAGAGTGTGAGAGTGAGAGTGGGGAGAGTGAGAGTGAGATTTGTGAGAGTGAGAGTGAGGTGTGTTTTAGAGTGTGTGTGTGAGGAGAGTGTGTGGAGAGTGAATGGTAGATGTGTGAGTTGTGAGAGCGTGTGAGTGTGAGAGAGGTTTTGGGGTGTGTGTGGGGGTTTGTGTGTGGTGTGTTTTTGGTTTGTGTGGTGTGTGTGTGTGGTGTGTGCTAAAAAACATTTATTGGGAAATTTTTTCCCCTCGAGGGTTTTTTCTTCCAATAATATTAGAACGGTATAAGAGTGCAAGAGTTTAGGTGAGCATAGGCTAAAAGCATTGTAGGGTAACATACTGGGAGGAGTTATAACAATGTACAAATGAGAAATGTTGCAACATTGTACAAAAACATAGTTTGATTTCTACTGAGCACAGTAGTAAATATTTCAAACACTTTTTATGATTTTGACTCATGGCAAGACCTATTATTGATCCCATGTTATTATATATACTGTTTATAACAAAATAACTCTTTGCTTTTTTTTACAGTTAATGAATGATGGTGAATGTGTTTCCTTTTTCTGGGTAACCCTACCATGGTGGTAAAAAAAAAATAAAAACTTTCTTTCAGTTTCCCATCACAGCACTACGAGAGATCAGGATCTTGAAGTTACTAAGACATGACAACGTAGTAAACTTGCTGGAAATTGCTCGCACAAAAGGTTAGTTTCCAAATAAGAATTGTATGATCAGGTAACAAAGTCCATGTATGCAAGTATCTTCTGAAGGTTATGAAGCTTTACTGTAATGTACTTCCACATTCAAAGAATTTAGCAACATGTTTATGAACATTAAGCATAGATATGAGCACTGGTGGGCACAGTTCTGCTAATCCACTAACCGCTAATTAGCGGAACTAACTTTTTGTTTAGCGGATTAGCGTTTCCGCTAACTTTGGAAACCATTAGTGGACCAATTAGCTTCTGCTAACTTAGAGTCCGCTTAAAAAAAATTCATATGTTGTTGGTAGTCAGAAAGCAATGTCTTTTCAATGGCTCATGTGTTTGTTCCCGTCTGTTGTGTGTGGGCTTTTTTCTAACAGTCAGTCAGGCACAACTATTTGCTGACTACGTGTAAACGTGACCTGTCAGTGCAGCAGCAACATCATCTGAGCAACATTGTTATAGTCTTACAGTGTCAGTGATCACTGGGTGAGTTGTCACTTATCGTTATGAACAGGGGAGACGTTTCTGTTCTGCCTGGGGGTGTTGTTGAGGAGTGGCTGTGGTTGAAGCAGGAGGCCACTCAGGTTGAGGGCCAGGAGTTGCAGAACCCATGGCACCACCTGGATGACTATTTTGTCCTCACTCAAGGGATATGAAGAATGCTAATACTTTTTTACTTCCTGTGCATCAGGGTCCCAGCCCAAGGAGACCATCATCAAGGGACAGGCAGCGAGCCTCTAAAACTTGAAGTTGCACGTTAAAAGGAAACACCCAGGGCATACCATCAAATTTGAGGAGAGAATCAGACCGGATCTTCCCGTGGAAAACAGGCATTTTTCTTGTGGGAGTGCCACTAGCAGGAGCAGCTCATGAAGGGCAACCAGCATCACATCAAAGCGATGAGAAGGCCCAGCCAGAGTAGTAATCAGCTCAGCCATCATCCGAGCTTGGCATGATACCCATGCTAGCATTTTTGTGTGTGTTGGATTTAAACTGATGTTTGATTTCATTTGTTCATTTAACTATTTTGTGTACACATGTATGGCTGTATTGCTGGTGCAGCAATAAGTTGGCTTCAAGGTTTCAACTTTATGCATGATTTTCCCAAATACTTACTTGTAGTTTATTGGGTCAAAATCTAAAAATGAACAGAAACCCGAATAAAATGAATGAATACAATAAGTAACGGAACTAATGAAGAAAACAGTCAAATAAGCTAACTCAATCTGTTTGAATGCTATGGGGCTTCATACAGCGACAAGTGTGTCCTTGTTGGTCGCTCGTGTTACGTCACAAAATTAAACAATCGCTATTTTTTGCACTTGATCATCATATGACCTTGGCATTCTGATCTTATGAGGAAGCTCTCCAGGTCTGTTCTAAAAGTCTTAAAAGTAAAAGACCAGAAAACTAAACCCAATCTGAATTCATGTGAAAAAATTAATGCTTAGAGTAGCTTCACCAAATTTTTTTTGGCTGTTTAGCAGTTTAGTGTTAATGGAGCTAATTTTTTTTGTGGATTAGCGGTTAGTGAAGCTAACTTTTTGGTTAGCTGTGCCCACCACTGGATATGAGGAAAAAAAAAAGAGCATTTTCTTATTAAATTAAAAAAAACCCCGTGGAACAGTCATTTTGATAATGACTTGTAAATTGCAATAACAGGCGTTGATTGCAACAAATCAAAGAACTGGCCTATAAGTTTTAGGACTTGTCTGCCATGGTTTCAAATGCCCACTGTTCTGTGAAATTTTTTTTGATAATATTAGAGATGGAAAGACTTTAGTTTTTGGTAAAATTTGGCAAGTAAAAAAATAGCTTTTTTACTTTATTTCTTATCTGTTGCACCATGATTTAGGTACAAAAAAACAGCCTCTCCTCGCTTACCAATATACTCGTTTTTCTGACAACTCAGATTTGCGGTGGGCTCTCTGACGAATTGTTATTATCTACGTACGAGAACTTGGGTCGTGAACAGGCAGCGCAGCGTCTCAGCATCAAGCTTGAATCTCCTTCCTACAACCACTCAGTACTCTAGCTGTCACAGTCTCTAAGAACTACATATTTGTACAAATTTCCTGTTGCTTTTTCTCTTAGAAGAGGAAAAAACAAGAGGGAAAAAGGAAGAAGTACAGAAGAAGTTTGGTTTTTAAAGGGGTTTAATGATGCATCTGAGCATCAGCAATCTCCCAAAACTACATATTTTGTCTATAAACTTGTACCTTACTGTACATCCCATTGTACATAGAGAAAAGAGTTAGAAAATGCAGCAGCACTTGGGAAAGGGAAAAACAAGAGGAAAATGGAAGAAGTACAAAAGAAGTTCACAGTAAAGGGGGTTAGCTGGTGTGTTCGTATGTGTGTTTACATTCTTGGTGTATCGTGGCAGCTTAAGAGATTATTAAACTTGGTGAACAAGGTATATCTATAGTAATAATAATTAATAGTAATAATTGCTCTGGAGTGCTTTAAATGTCAGCTACCAAACCTATATGAAATACTTATGACATTTGAAGTGCTCCAGATTGATTATTTATATATTATTATTATAAAAAATTATTATAAATTATTACTGTATTATTTTTTTTTTTAACAATCGGCTGTCTCCCACTGAGGCAGGGTGACCCAAAAAGAAAGAAAATCCCCAAAAAGAAAATCCCTTCATCATCATTCAACATTTCACCTCACTAAACACACAATTACTGTTTTTGCAGAGGTGCTCAGAATACCGCAGTTTAGAAGCATATCTATAAAGATACACAACATCCCCCTCCTTTAAAGTGCAGGCATTGTACTTCCCATTTCCAGGACTCAAGTCCGGTTATATGAAATAACCGGTTTTCCCTGAATCCCTTCACTAAAAAATTACCCTGCTCACACTCCAGCAGTTCGTCAGCCCCAAATACCATTCGGTCCATTCACTTATATCTAACACGCTCACGCACGCTTGCTGGAAGTCCAATAAATAATAAATGCTATTTTTGGCATTGTTTCTTAAGACGAGTGATCTACGAGTGTTTCCCCTGATGTAAACCCTATTTTCTTTGTTATAGACCAGAAAACTTACACGCTATGCGCCTGTAAGGTAACTATAGTTCATTTCTTATGTTATCAAAGACTGAAAAAAGTGCGATTTTCTCGGAAAAAAAATTTACCAAGTAGTACTAATCAGCTATGCACACGTTTCCTGGAATATCTTGGAAGTAAGTCATTGACCTATTTTATGTTGTTATTACCATTAATAATAAACAGATTGAAAGGAATATTCCCAGCAAACATAAAAGTGAATGTTTTAATTTTGGGTGGTGACACTTTTTGAAGTGTCAGTAAGGGGTGATTCCTTGATTAGCGACGAATTCGTTTACTGATGGGTCTTAGGCCCATATCTCCGTTGTTAAGTGAGGAGTGGCTGTATACAATTTTGTTTGATCTTATATAATTTTTTGTGGTTCTTTGCTTTCTTCTAGGTCCACCACCCCCAGGGCTTCAGAAGCCTGCAAAAGGTAGGTTATTTATTAGGTCCTTTCAAAATGCCTATACATCAGTCACTCACCAAATAGCACCTAAAAGCTTAAGCCAGTGTTTTGGCTGATGAAACCACATTTGGGACATTCCATGTCAATTCAACCAAAATTTTGTAATTTTTTCATAGCACATCTCCAGTTGTCCTCAGAATTGGCACTCTTGTAGATTTCAGTGAGAAAATGAGATTGGTTTTTGTCCTAACAGTTCTGGAGATACAGGCCCACAGAACTTTGACTGAAAGGTCATTTTTGGCAGGTCATGTGAAATTTTGAATTAAAATATCTGCCCTTGTATGGTACCCACAGACCTGAAGCTAAAGAGTAGTTCTAAAACTATTATTTAGATCATTTTTGACTTCAGAGGTTAAAAAAAAAAATGACTTTTTTTGTGACCTTAGACCTGAAAAATTTCAAAATGCACAATGTACATTTTCTCACTCACTAAATGTAGATTAATCTACATGACTATTTCAGACTCCAATGAGAATTTTCGTGGTTTTAATTAGATTAGATGCCACATCCACTTTAGTAAACCTACTCAGTGCTATTTTCACCTTTGACCTTTGCCATAAACTTCTCCAGACTGTATCTCTAGGACTATTATGGCTAGAATAGTGGAGATAAATGTAATTTCTTCTTAAGGAGCTATAACAGAAGAGAAATAACTAAGAACATTGCCAGAATATTATGTAATTTTTGGTACAAAATGTAATATAAAAAATTCACCCAGCTCTTTTGTGTGTGTGTGTGCACATGTGTGGTCACGTGTGTGGTCACGTGTGTGGTCACGTGTGTGGTCACGTGTGTGGTCACGTGTGTGGTCACGTGTGTGTGCAGTGTGTGTGTCAGTGTGTGTGCAGTGTGTGTGCAGTGTGTGTGCAGTGTGTGTGCAGTGTGTGTGCAGTGTGTGTGCAGTGTGTGTGCAGTGTGTGTGCAGTGTGTGTGCAGTGTGTTGTGTGTGTGTGTGTGTGTGTGTGTGTGTGTGTGTAAAATAATAATTATCCATAGTCCTAACCTATTTCCCATTTTTATTTAGACTTTTTCGAGGCACGGTATATAAAATTTTTATTCATTTGCCACATACTCTTTCTGTTCTCAAATCATGTGTAAACCCTGTATAGCACAGTCGGTATCCTCCCTCCCCTTGCCTCCAAATCTGTTTACTATTTCTGCCTTGTTGCTTTTCTGGCAGTCTCTTAACTCTTGCCTTAAGCTTCAAATCAGCAGATATCTCGCTGCAGAAAAACAGTATGTAGGTTTTAGTAAATTACCAGAAATTTCTCTATTTTTTTTTTTATCTTTCACAGATCTAGGATGATTTTCACAAATTGCTTTTAGCCCATCAGTGTCATACTTGATATTTATACTGTATTAGCTTTTTTTGGATACTTACCATGACTTTCATTTGTGTTGGTCTTTGTGTAAAATTAGGGATATTTGCATATACAGTAGGACCCCTGTATTCGCGGGTCTGGTATCCACCGTTTCAGTTATCTTAGGTTTATCGTGGCTCCAAAATAACCCTTAATTTTGCTTAATAATGGCCTCAGAGTGCAAAACTAGTTCTTCAAGGCCTGAGTGAAGCTGGAAGTGTTTCCCATCAGTGGAAAAGTGATAATTCCCACATACTGTGTGTAATTTATCAATTAAACTTTATAATAGGGACTTATAGGACTTATATACTATAGAGTTGGCTACCATCCCTGGTTTTGGTATCCATGGCAGGTCCTTGGAATGTATCCCCCGCAGATATGGGAGTCTTACCGTATATATATATGTTTATTTTAACATGAATTATTGGTAAATTAAGCATCATCAATTTACATAGTGTTACTGGTAATTTCTTGTCCTCGCCAGCAACACCACACATGTCCAGTCTTTCTACTTTCTTCTTGGTGTTTGAATTTTGTGAACACGACCTGGCTGGCTTGCTCTCCAATGTTAACGTAAAATTTAATCTTGGAGAAATTAAAAAGGTAAGGAGAAAAATTGTCAATCTTTTTATTAGATCTACAGGCATGATTAGGTAGATTATAGTGGAAAAATGAACATGTTATTAGTAGATGGAGGAACTTACATGCCTCTCAAAAGTTGATATGAAAGGAACCAGTGCCCAGTTTTATTATGATGAATTCAGTTCTGTGCATCATAGAATGTATTGCTCTAATTGCTATATTAGTACTACATTTGGTTTCCTATTAAAATTACTTACTTGTTTTACCCTTATTTTGGGGTAATTTTTTTGTTTGCCTCTAAGTACTTTTGTGGAAGAAATAGTTTGATGTTTCTTCCCTTTATCATCATTCTAGCAACTTGCCACATTCTTAGGAAGTAAAGTATGACACTTCTTAAGCAGCCTGTATATATTTTTTTATCTGGAATATATACATAATGTTTTTTAATTAGTAATAATACAATAAGTGCAAATTTAATCTTTTTGAGTAGGTTTCAGTTATAATGGAGTAGTTATTATCCATGCTGATGAGTTATACTGTTTTGTTCTTGTACTTTGAACACTGTAATATATAAATGACTGATGCTATTTATCCAGGTTTTTATCCTTTAACTTCCATTCTAGCTAATTTCTTCAGACTCTGTACCTTCCATTTGAGGTAGAGTAACCCAAACAGGGTAATGCATTTACCATCACTCATTCATTAGCCATCTTACCAGAAGTGTGCAGACGTTACATTTCAGATGACCATCCAAACTGTGTGGGCACTATTTCCCACCTCCAAGACTTGAATTCCTTATAAATGATTTGTTGCTTGCACTCCAATAGCTTTTCTAGAAATAAAAAACCACTCTTCTCCATTCACTCTGATCTAACATAATCACACAAACATGCGGATGCTCAAGCCTCAAGCACTCAAACCTCTTTAACTCTCTTCCTCCAATCCTTCCTGGGAAAATACTTTGCCTACAGTAGACATAATAAATATGCACTCCCAAAAGTACACCTTTAGCAAACTTTGCCTGACACATTCTAGAAGTGCCAGGGCAACTTTTGTATGGAAGACAGTGCCCTTTGCCAAACTGCCAATACATTAAGAATTGACTAAATTATTGTAATTTTTCCACACTTGAATAACTGGCCTGAAAATTTGCTGGATTTCAGTCCAGTAGAGAACGTCTTTAAAACTTATTAAACGAAAGCTTTGTGGCATAGACGTGTACTTTGATCCAAAATCTCGAGTGGGAGGGTATTGACTTTTCTATCCTGCATTAAGAGGAAGAGTAATCTTACTAAATACTAGTTTAGGTGAGGACTGCATTCGTATTTCAGTATTATATATTTAAAACTATAGATTATGGGAGCAGTCTCACTTTCCATGTGAATTGTATGCATGTGCATATTTATGAAGCCTACTGTGTACGTTTGTATGTATAGAGTAGACCTTTGATTTAAGATGTTGTCTATTAGGATATTTAGTTTTGCTACAAGACTGTTGAGAGAGTGGCATTTTTTCAATCATGGTGACATGATTTTTTGTATGACTGTGTAAATTTAGGAAAAAAATAGCTAATAGCTGGTACAGGAAGGCTAGTAACCAATAATTTCACTGTAACTACACATTATTGTGCCTTAACAATCATTCACTTACCCTAATTGTATTTTTACAAGTGTTAAATGTTTTAGTGTGGTAAAAAAATGTGAAAAATACTTAAATAAAAAAGTGAGGGGATAATTTGTGGCACTGCCACTATAAATATTTGGTTTTTGAATTTTATGGCCATCAAAGTAAAACCCCGTTTATATAAAAATTTTTTATCACCATGAGTCACAGGAAAAAACAAATTTTTCCTGCATACTGGTCATACAGGGAATTGGTTATGGAGCTCGATTGCTGGCACTCAGCTCACAAAATGGGGTTGGGGGGTCGATCCCTGGAAAGGGGGGGAAACATTAGAACATTTTTCCTTGAGGCACCTGCTGCCCTTGTTCATCTCTCAGTAAAATGGTACCTGGGTTTTGTCGCGGGTGGGGGTCTCACCCCGGGAAAAAAGTGGTAATTTTTCCCAAAAGTTCTGCAAAAAAAGCGATTTCTGTAACATTGTGTATGTCATTGATGTCAGCTAGGGCCCTTTTACCTTGCCATGTAAAATATATTATTGTTATTGTTATTTTAAAAACACTTGTTTTCCCCGTGTGGGTTTGTTTTTTATGTGCATATTTTTTGGTGAAATAAATTAATTTACAGCTTTTCGAGACCTTGTTTTTTTTATGTTGCTCATTCCAATGAATAAGGATGTAAGAAAACCCGTATTTTGTTGTACCTGTCATTTTTTTGTTTTTTACACATGTAGGAGAGAAGTATTTTTTTTGGATTTTCAAGATATTTTGAATATTTTGAATATTTTGAGGAACTTTTTGTTTTAGGAAGAAAGGGGGGCGGTAATTTCATGCACTGGCCCGGGGGGTATCCATCTTTTAGGAGTGAAGAAGACAGAATGTAAGTGTGGGGAGGTACGTGAGGCATTACGTAGAATGAAAGGGGGTAAAGCAGCTGGAACTGATGGGATCATGACAGAAATGTTAAAACAGGGGGGATATAGTTTGGAGTGGTTGGTACTTTTGTTTAATAAATGTATGAAAGAGGGAAGGTACCTAGGGATTGGCAGAGAACATGTATAGTCCTTTATATAAAGGGAAAGGGGACAAAGAGATTGTAAAAATTATAGGGGAATAAGTTTACTGAGTATACCAGGAAAAGTATACGGTAGGGTTATAATTGAAAGAATTAGAAGTAAGACAGAATGTAGAATTCGGATGACAAGGAGGCTTCAGAGTGGGTAGGGGATGTGTAGATCAAGTGTTTACATTGAAGCAATATGTGAAACAGTTTTAGATAAAGGTAGGGAAGTTTTTATTGCATTTATGGATTTAGAAAAGGATATGATAGAGTGGATAGAGGAGCAATGTGGCAGATGTTGAAAGTTTATGGAATAGGTGGTAATTTACTAAATGCGTAAAGATCTTTTATGAGGATAGTGAGGCTCAGGTTAGGGTGTGTAGAAGAGAGGGAGAATACTTCCGGTAAAAGTAGGTCTTTGACAGGGATGTGTAATGTCACCATGGTGTTTAATATATTTATAGATGGGTTTTTAAAGAAGTAAATGCTGGGGTGTTCGGGAGGGGGTAGGGTTAAATTATGGGGAATCAAATTCAAAATGGGAATTGACAGTTACTTTTTGCTGAGATACTGTGCTTATGGGTGATTCTAAAGAAAAATTGCAAAGGTTAGTGGATGAGTTTGAGAATGTGTGGTAAAGGTAGAAAGTTGAAAGTGAACATAGAAAAGAGTAAGGTGATGAGGGTAAACAAATGATTTAGATAAAGAAAAATTGGATATCAAATTGGGGAGGAGGAGTATGGAAGAAGTGAATGTTTCAGATACTGGGAGTTGACGTGTCGGCGGATGGATTTATGAAGGAAAGAGGTTAAATCATAGAATTGATGAGGGAAAAAAAAGGGGAGTGTGCGTTGAGGTATATGTGGAGTCAAAAAAACTTATCTATGGAGGCAAAGAAGGGAATGTATGAAAGTATAGTAGTACCCAAAACTCTTATATGGATGTGAAGCTTGGGTGGTAAATGCAGCAGCGAGGAAAACGGTTGGAGGCAGTGGAGATGTCCTGTCTAAGGCAATGTGTGGTGGGAAATATTATGCAGAAAATTCGGAGTGTGGAAATTAGGAGAAGGTGTTTGGGGTTAATAAAAGCATTAGTCAGAGGGCAGAAGAGGGGTTGTTGAGGTGGTTTGGTCATTTTAGAGAGAATGGATCAAAGTAAAAATGACATGGAAAGCATATAAATTATAGGGGAAGGAAGAGGGGTAGGGGTCATCCTCAAAAGGGTTGGAAAAAGGGGGTAAAGGAGGTTTTGTGGGCGAGGGGCTTGGAACTTCCAGCAAGCGTGCATGAGCGTGTTAGATAGGAGTGAATGGAGGACGAATGATACTTGGGACCTGATGATCTGTTGGAGTGTGAGCAGAGTAATATTTAGTGAAGGGATTCAGGGAAACCGGTTATTTTCATATATCGGACTTGAGTCCTGGAAATGGGAAGTACAATGCCTGCACTTTAAAGGAGTGGTTTAGGATATTGGCAGTTTGGAGGGATATGTTGTGTATCTTTATATGTATATGCTTCTAAACTTTGTATTCTGGGCACCTCTGCAAAAGCAGTGATAATGTGTGAGTGTGGTGAAAGTGTTGAATGATGATGAAAGTATTTTCTTTTTGGGGATTTTCTTTCTTTTTTTGGTCACCCTGCCTCGGTGGGAGACGACCGACTTGTTGAGAAAAAAAAAAAAAAATCATAGAAAATCAAGTTCATTACAAGAAGTTATATGCAACATTTACAAAGTACTGTATTTTACACACAAATTTCTTTTATCTCAAAAGAAACTAGTTCTTTAGTAATAAGGCTACTGTTAATGAACTCATCTTTTTACTACAGTACCAAATAAGTCTAGTATCAAACCTTGTTCTGCTGAACATCATTCATGCTGTTGCAATCATGCATCAATCAATAAGAGTTTGTTTTTGTCTTCCCTTAATCCCTGGCATTTGAATTGGCCTGCTATAGTTTTAGGACTGGCTCTTCCTCACAAGAGATCCCTTAGCACAATGGGATTTTACTTAAAATGCCTTCCTTTTGCTGTGTCATTGTTGTAATTGATCATGTAACATCCATGTTTAGAATAGGCTGGCCAAATTAGAATTACTAGTACAATACAGTGGACCCCTGGTTAACGATATTTTTTCACTCCATAAGTATGTTCAGGTGCCAGTACTGACCGAATTTATTCCCATAAGGAATATTGTGAAGTAGATTATTCCTTTCAGACTCCCAAACATACACGTACAAACGCACTTACATAAATACACTTACATAATTGGTCGCATTTGGAGGTAATCGTTATGCGGGGGTCCACTGTATATGTATGTATTTGGCTCCACGGTAACTGGGCTTTGAAGTGTTTTGGCCATTTAATAAGAATGGAGCAAAATTAGATGACAGAGGGTGTATACTGTGCTAAATCCAGGGTGAGGGAAAGATGGGTAGGGGTCATCCCTGGAAGGGATGGAGTAAGGTTGTAGAGTATTGAGCATTTAGCAGGTGCTTGTGAGCATGACGGATTGGAGTGAGTAATGACAAGTGGCTTTTTGGGGTTTCATGTGCTCTTGGAATGTGAGCAAGATATACTGAAAGAGACCAATATATCTGAAATACGAAAGGAGGCACTAGTCAGAGAAATAGCAAATATCGAACTTAAGCTTAAGGATACACAAATAACCCGCACATAGAAGAGAGGAGCTTACGACGACGTTTCGGTCCGACTTGGACCATTTACAAACTCTCACAAACCAGAAGTGGAGCAGGACGGCTATATATAGGCAGGAAGAGGTAGTGGTAGTGGTGGTGGTAGTAGTAGTAGTAGTAGTAGTGGTAGTAGTAGTAGTAGTAGTAGTGGAAGTAGTGGGGAACTAAGATAAGAGATAAGATTTCGTTCGGATTTTTAACCCCAGAGGGTTAGCCACCCAGGATAACCCAAGAAAGTCAGTGCGTCATCGAGGACTGTCTAACTTATTTCCATTGGGGTCCTCAATCTTGTCCCCCAGGATGTGACCCACACCAGTCGACTAACACCCAGGTACCTATTTACTGCTAGGTGAACAGGACAACAGGTGTAAGGAAACGTGTCGAAATGTTTCCACCCGCCGGGAATCGAACCTGGGCCCTCCGTGTGTGAAGCGGGAGCTTTAGCCACCAGGCCACCGGGCCAGTCAAATATAAAGAAAGGGGAGCACTGCAAGGGAGCTAGGTGCCCACAGAGGGAGAGCAAGTGCACAGAGGTGGGGGGAAGGGGAAGTGATGAAATAAAAAAAGGGAGGAACAGAAACACATGACAGAAGAAAGACAAAAAAAAAAAAAAAAAAAAGAAAGGGGAAGAGGGAGAAGAAGAAAAAATGAGGAATCAGGTTAAGTCACGGGTGTTCTTAAGTTTGGAGCATTTTACAATGTAGTGGGAGAGGAAGGCATTTGCAGAGATGAAGCCAGGACTAAGATTCATACAAGGAAAGTTGTGTATTAGAGAGGATTCAACAAGACAGCGGCTGTTAAAGTTGGAAGTAGGGAAGACAGTTTTAGCAGAAGACCAGTCTATAGGATGGCTGTGATCTCTGACGTGACAGAAAAGAGCATTGTTAGTGTCGGTAAGCCTAACACTATTTTTGTGCTCCCTAAGTCTGTCAGAAAGAGATCGGCCAGTTTCTCCAAAGTATTGAAGAGGGCAGGAGGAGCAAGAACTAGAGTAGACACCAGGAACATCTGTAGAGGGAAGAGAGGTATGAACGAGATTAGTGCGAAGAGTGTTAGTCTGGCGGAAAGTAAGCTTGATGTCTAAGGGACGGAGAGAATTGTAGAGATTAGAAAGACCGGAAATGTAGGGAAGGCAGAGGACAGAAGAGTTCCCAGGAGTAGAGAGTTTAGGAGAGAAGAAATTACGTTTAGCTCGTGAGAAGGCAGAGTCTATGAAATGGGAAAGGTAGCTGGTGCTGGTGCTGCTGGTGCTGCTGGTGGTGCTGGTGGTGCTGATGCTGCTGCATTGCTGCTGCTGGTGCTGGTGCTGCTGGTGCTGCTGCTGTGCTGCTGTGTACTGCTGGTGCTGGTGCTGCTGGTGCTGGTGCTGCTGGTGCTGGTGGTGCTGCTGCTGGTGGTGCTGCTGCTGGTGGTGCTGCTGGTGGTGCGTGGTGCTGGTGGTGTGCTGCTGCTGGTGCTGCTGCTGGTGCTGCTGCTGCTGCTGCTGGTGGTGCTGGTGTGGTGGTGCTGGTGTGCTGGTGCTGCTGGTGGTGGTGGTGGTGGGGTGGTGGTGGTGGTGGTGCTGCTGCTGCTGCTGCTGCTGCTGCTGCTGCTGCTGCTGCTGCTGCTGCTGCTGCTGCTCCCTGCTGCTGCTGCTGCTGCTCCTGCTCCTGCTTGCTCCTGCTCCTGCTTGCTCCTGCTTGCTGCTCCTCCTCCTCCTCCATCATGTGCGGGTTATTTGTGTATCGTTCCAGTCATGGTATTATGCCTTTTTTTTTTTTTTTTTTTTTGTTATTTAAGCTTAAAGAATCATTTAGGAGACAAGAAACACAGGAAGAATCTAAAGCCATAATTGAAATTGAAAAATAAAAGCAAAATACATGTACTTCTTTTTTTTTATGCCAAATCTAGGGCAAAAACAACATCCAGTATCGGACCCCTGCTTAAAAGAGATGGGACTTACACAGATGACAACCAAAAAATGAGTGAGATACTGATGTTCCAGTATGACTCGGCATTTAGTGAGCCATTAATCAGACTATGGGTCGACAGTCTAAATGAATTTTTTATGATTCTAAACTCAAAATTTGGATAATTCAAAAATTTCTATTATCCTAACAACAAATGGTTGAGAATCTTTTTCTGAAGGTAATAAAACAAAAAGTACAAAATTTGATCAAAAGCTGACAAAATAACTCTCGCAAATTTTGCTGTGTCATCGATATTTATGCATCAGTGATTTTACCCACCTTGAGTCCAATTTTAGGCCAAATACATTGCTCCAGGCGACCAAATTTTTAGCTGTTTCTCTAGTAAGCCTTCCATTCTTTCGATTGAGCACAAGAAACTGTCCATTCAACTATTTCAACTACCCAATAAAGTGATCAGAAATTGGTAATTTGGCCAGTTTCACATAAAATTCAAGGAATGTTAATTTCGAAATAGGATCCTGAATACATAATGAAGACATTCCTGGCACTAAAATAACATTTTTTTCAGTTCATTAGTTATGTCCCCAGACTCCCCAATATTACACATTAATTCCATTTAGAATTTTTATTCAGACAAAAAATGGAATATTAACTATTACGCAGACTACCGCATTATTGTAATATTTGTATAAATAATGTCAGTGCATTCATAAATGTGTATTAGACTGGCCAGATTTATGCATTTTGAATGAGTGACATCATTTGAGTACTCTCGAATATCATCAAAAATAGAACATTCTGCTACTTTGAGCTCAATTTCAAACTACTTTCAGTCCTGAAAGCAATCAGAATCATCTCTATTTCTGTAATATATCTTCCATTATACCATATGAGACCAAGAAACCTAGAATACCACTATAAAAACCACATGAAAATACAGTGGAATCTCTCTTTTTGGCTGTAATCTGTTCCAGTAGGTCGGCCTGAATTCGAAAGGGCCTTAATTCGAAACTATATTTCCCATAAGAATTAATGTAATACAATTAATCCATTCCAGACACCCAAAAATATTCACAAAAAAATAAATTTTTTAAAGATTAATTATAGTTTTACATACACAAAACAGTGAGAACTAAATAAATTAAATTACCATTTAAATCACTACTGTTACATACCTTTATTGAAGATTCTTGTTGGCTTATGGAAGACAGGGAGGAGGAGGAGAGAGGGAGGGCACATTTGTCAGAACTTGCAGCCTCCCCATGCCTTACAACACTGTGTATGCTACTACGCTTCTTAAATCTCTCAAACCAGCCTCTGCTGGCCTTAAATTCACTAACATCATCATGAGCACCAGGCATTTTCTTTACAAAATCCGCATGCAGCTGCCTTGCCTTTTCACAAATGATTATCGCTGAAACACTATCTCCTGCTAACTGTTTTTCCTGATCAACAACAACAACTTCTCAACATCTTCATTTGTTTGTGATCTCTTTTTTGTTAACAGGTTTACCCCCTTTTGCCACATCAGCTTCCTTGATTTTGTTCTTTCTTTGAGAGGATAGAAGTGATTGTTGATTTGTTTTTGCCATACATCCTGGCAAGTTCCAGCACCTGTACACCACTCTCATATTTTTCTATTACTTCCTTCTTAAATTCCATCATGTTTCTTAGTTTCTTTACCAAAGGAACTTTACTAGGAACTTTCTTGGGGCCCATGGTTACTTATTTCACAGTCACACTTAAATACAAAAACAATGGATTTTAAGGAAATGTTTGGATGAATGCGGGGAGTATATGCTCACTCGCCAATAGACAAAGGGAGACTGACTCACTAAAGCCCAGCATCCCAGCGGGAGAGGCAGGCTAACATTTCTAATACGGCCGATACATGAGGCAACGGCTGAAATACAGAGCAAAATTTCCGCCAAAAAACTGGCCTAAATATGAATTGGCCAATAAACAAAATGGCCAAAAAACTTGGTTCTACCGTACACCTCAAAGTTGGTGTTTTAAACCAAAAACACGGTCAAAGTTTTTTATTCCCATTGTGCACTGCTTGCTGCAGAATTTTTTTATATGGTGCACACTTGCCACATAGACCTATTCTCTCGTATCTAGGCCCAAATTTACCGCTCACAGCTTATCTGAGTGAGCTCGTGGCGTAGAACTACGGGACTGACCCAGGCTTCAAAGCCGAGCCTCGAAGGGTTAACAGGCAAATGAAACTAAATTTATTTTTTATTTATAAGTTTAATTTACTGCAGATTGAATATGTAGTTAATTAGTGTATTTAACATTTACTAATTTGTTTGTCCTTTGAATGCAGGTAATGCAGCAGTTGCTCAATGGACTTTACTACATTCATTCCAACAAGATTCTCCACCGAGATCTCAAAGCTTCAAATGTTCTTATCACAAAAAATGGAATCTTGAAATTGGCCGATTTTGGTCTGGCCCGTGCATTTAGTACTAGCAGACAAGGACCAAATAGGTGTGTTATTAATTACAGATACTTGTACATTGGCCCATTTATATATACAGGTGTATATATATTTTTTATTGTGTACTGTACTTTATTATATCTGCATGAATTAGATTTTCATCATTACAGTATTGTATATAAAATATTGAGTTTGTTCTTATTTTTATAGAATTACTAATTAATTAATTTTAATACTGTACTACACTTCCTAAAACCCATTCCACTTGACTTGTTGATTCATCTGCTTGAAAGCTTGAGTAAAGCTTATTTCATGACCTTGCTATCAGCAGCTGTATTACTCGGCAACTTTGAAACCCATGCCTATGTTAATTAAACAGTATAGAAGCTCCTTATGGCATGCTGTATTTATATATATGCATATTTTTTTTTCTTTTACATTAGGGATAGTCATTGCCTACACTAACCACTTGGTTAAACAATAATCCTTAAAATCAGAGGTCAGTTGGCTTGTAGACTTTGATGGCTGGAGTTGGGTTACAGTATTATAAGTTCTACAAAGACAGTGATTATGTATGAATAATGGTGAAAGTCTTGAATGATGATGAAAGTTTTTTCTTTCTTTTTGGGTCACCCTACCTCGGTGGGAAGCTGCCGACGTGTTAAAAAAAAAAAGTTCTGAAGGCAACCTTGGCATTAAAGAGCTTACATTATAGACAGTGTTTTGACTCATGAGATCGTAATGATACAATTGCAAAGAAACAGTGTTTTGCTTGTCCTGAGTGAAGCTTTGTCCCTGATAAAAGCTTTCCCATGTGTTGTGGTTTTCTTTTCACATCTTAACCTAGAAGGAAGTAACCTTGTCGCAGAGGGGAATACTCAGCATACTGTCGGCAAGCATTCTTTGGTAATGGGGAGAATTTTTGCTGTGACTTTTGGGAAAGCCAGACTAACTCGTCACAATGTAGAACTTGTAGAACTTAAATTTTGTTTATTTGGGATGTTTGGTGTTTGAATTTGGGAACTTGGGAGATGGGGCCCTTTGTACCAGCAGCCAAACATTCAGACAGGAGGAGCCCACTGTAGGAAACACCGGGGAATAAAAAACCCCATTTCAACCTGGGTACCCCTTTTGTCCTTCATAGGGGGTGGCCCCCTGTTTTTTGCCCCATTATTTTTAAAAAATATTATAACATTAATAGATTTGACTACTTCACAGCTTGTTTCCCCTGTAATGGTTAATGCTGTATTTAACCTTTGATTGTGCAACCCCCCCAAATCCTAAAGTGTCTGGGCCTGTGGCTAGAGTCCCCCCCTTCCCCCGGGAGGCCCGGGTTTGATTCCCGGGGGGTGGAAACATTCGACACACTTCCTTACACCTTTTTGTCCTTCACCTACACAAATAGGTACCGGGGTGTTATCGACTGGTGGGGTCCTGTTACGATTTAAATCTTCACCGAACAATAGGGGCACAAATAACCCAAATTTTTTTTTTGTTTTTTTTATTACCAACTTTTACTTTTTTGGGGATTTGGTTAGTGATTTAAAAAAACCACAACAATTAAAATAAACACTATACAGCAAAAACCCAACTTACGTTCAAATTTCTTAACAGAGTAGATACAATAATTTCAATTAATAATCTACTCTTTAAAAAGGCAAGGGTAACGAAATAGTTATCTTTCATAAGTGACAAAATTTACCAACTAATGGCAAAGGCAAGACTTGGTAAAATTTTTAGTTTGCTAGGAGTTTGGGGGTTGAAGACCCTACCGGTCAGGCGGAGCTGACTGACCCTCAACACTTCATAATGACTTCACCGGCCAAAAGGCGACGCTGGCGCAATTCTAAACCCCCAAATTTGGTCACACAGTATGGTTACACATTCGTAGTACCTAACCTAATAATAATATAATAAATATTATATTATATAATCATGGGAAAGATATAATAAAACAATATAATACAAAGAGAGTACTTTTGAGATTAAAACTGTACCCGATAATAATATAAGTCAAACCCTGCTTTATCTAGCTAGTAAAAAAAGGGGTTTCGCGATAATTATTACAGAATTTATTTTAAACCAGGCCTTTTATTTTGTATAAATGGTGAAGTAGGGCGCGTAACCCTCCCCCCTCGTGACTGACGTCCCATTGACTTGTCTCTCTGGGGGTGGGTACATCTTCATAGTAGAGGGGTTTGAACAAACAGCATCCTACATCATCCCATTTTCTCCACAACAAGAGGGTCATAAAATACGACTCATACTGTTAAAATAAAGGTATTTTAAAAAAAAATTTTTCAAGCCTAGAGAGGGCACCATGAGATTTTTTTCCCTTTTATAGGGGAAATGGTAATAGAGAAGGGTTAAATTTCTAAACCCAACGAAGTTCGGCTTTTTCGATTTCATAAAATTTATGAAGGTCAAAGGATTATATTGGATACACCGATATCTGAGGGGTAAAGATCCAAATATACATCAAAATTCCTGGGCATCAACGGAGCTAAGGCTTCTTTTCTATTTAATAATTAATTCGGTGTTTCTTTAACTTAGAAAAAAAAAAAAACAGGTTGTAATAGGTCAAATTTGTACCCTTTCTGTAACAATGGGGCTCCCAAAGCATACGCCGGCATCTTTTTAAGTGGAATGGTTTTTTTAAAATCGGGACTAGCAATACGGGGGAAAGGGGAAGAAACTTTTTAACTTTAAAAAACAATTTCACAGTCCTAGTCCGTGAAAACTTTGTTTTGGACTTTTTAATTCAGTAGGGGAAAAGCTACCTGTGAAAATTCGGACAAAACCCACGGTAACCGGAAACCCCTAAAAATTTGATACGTTTTTCCTATCCTTGGGGGTAGGAAATTCAAAAGGGGGGCCTTTATTTTGGCTTCAAAGGAGCGCTTCCCCTTTGCCAATCCGAAATCCTAATTTTTAATTTTCGTCGGGCCAAACTCACACTTGGACAAATTCCTGAAAATTTTTGTTTACTTAAGGCGTCAAACAAGGCTTTAAGCTTCTAAGGTGTTGGGGCCAACGTCGCTGTATACACTAAGTCGTAAAAGTAACTTCTCTCCTCAATCCGCCCGAAAGTATTTCATAAACGCTGGAACGAGAGGCCGCGTTACGAACCAAAGGGGCAAAACGAAATATTGTATAGGCCACCGGGTACAAAAAACCGATTCTCTTGTGCTTTTGGGACAAGGGATTTGGGTAATACCCCTTAACAAGTCCAATTTACTGATACTTACTCGGAGACCTTGTCTATTAATCGTAAATTCTGGTTTTGGGAAACCCCGGGTACTGTTACAGCATTGATTTTCTAAAATCCGTGCACATAGGGAGGTCCCCATCGTTGGGGACAGAATGCAGGGGATGCCCAAAGGACTGTTACTTGGTTTACAACCCGTGTGAGAGTAAAAATTTCACCTCTCCCTCTCCCCTTTGTTTTTTGGGACTCCACTCTGTAGGGAGATGCTTGATTGGATAGGTTCTCGAAGTAACATCGTCCACCCAACGTACAGGGTTTTTGGGGACTCTTTGAATAGTGGAGATTTCCCTTTAATCAGGGTTTTTTATTTCGTGCCTTTGCCACTTCCAGATTTATCATAGAGAATTAAATTTTTTAAAGGGCTGTCAAATTTGTTCAAAAGAACTGGTTTTTCCATCTTTTCATCCAACTTACGGAACCCGTTCTTGGTTAAAGGGGAGTTAAGTAAAACGGGTGAAACGTTCCGAATGGGGTTTAATTTGGTTAATGTGTACGCCGTTGTGATTCCTCTTCTTCGGCGCCCTTACCAAGTAGTTCACGCACTGGCGCTTCACGTTTTCTAAAGGACCTTCAAATTTGGGCTTAGACATGTCCGATGAAATTTTTTGAACCGAACTTACTTTTGGTTCAAATGAACGAAGTTTAGTTCGACATCGATCCTCTTTCATTTTACTCGTCTTGTCGAAAGTTTTCGCGGCCAATCTCTTGGGCTCAGGCGTTCTTTCATTAAGGTAGAGAGCTCCTAAAAGTCGGCGTTTCTTCCCCGGGGGCCCCAAACTTCTTTGAGAACCTTCTGGTCCTCTAATTTGAGCCCATATTTTAACCAAAGGGCAAAATTTCAAGTTGTCTTGTTCGCTTTCTCTTAGGGCAAACAAGATGGGGAATCCCTTTCACCCCAATTTTTGTTTTAAAAAATAGGACCTCATCAAAATCTTCAAAGTTTGAGGGAACCTTTCCACCACGCCTTGTGATTGGGGTCGATAGGCCGTCGCAAAACCGTCTTGACCCCTAACTGACCCAAGGTTCACGGAAAAATTTTGAAGAAAAATTCCCCCTTTGTCCGATTGAACTTCTCTTGGAATCCAAAGTGAAAAAGAACTTAATCAGTGCTCCACTATTAGGCGAGCATTAAATCCCCGAGAGGAAACTGTTTCCCGGGGTACCTGGGTGACTTGTCCATGATAGGAACAGGAACGGGTTGCCCTGCCGAGTCTTGGTAGCGGCCGACACAGCACACCGACTAAAAAGGGGTTCGCCTGTTATTGTAAGGGTTCAACGGCGCAGGTGGGGGGATTATGTGCAGGTTTGCCTACTAGTTGACCCCGGGAAAACAGCTTTTTACATACCTTTTCCACTTCTTCCTTCATTTTGGCCAGTGAAGTGCTTAAAATTTTTTCTAAAAGTTTTCTTTTGTCCCAGATGTCCCCCTTTGAGGACTGTCAGAGCAAACTTTCATGCTAAATTTTTAAACGGGGTAGGGAAGACCACTAGAGATCATTTGAGACCAGTTTCTTTTTATAATCCTTTCCCAATAGTAAGGGGCTGTCACTTTTTAAGGGGTTCTCCCAACAAGCAAGCTTCCGAGGTCACTTAAGGAGGGGTCTATTTGGGGTTTTTCCTTACTAGATCCTCCTTCGGGAAAAAATCTATTTCGGAAACCACCCACTTTGGAACTGGGATCGGTTCTGGTGGATTGTGGGTTACACTCGAGCTTTCGTTGAAAATGTCTCTTACTCCCACGTCGACGTCGTCCCCGACTTCCCCCGATCCAAAGAGAACGCACTGTTTGGGGCATCGCCCCCGGGTTTTCACGCTCAGAGGAAAGAGGGTAGGTTCCGTTCGCGGGGTTTGATGACGTAATTTTTCCCCGGTTTGGGTTTTCCATAACAGGGGCCCTTTCCATATTCCTTCTTTCCCTAAGTCGTTCCCAATCAATAGGTCTACGTCTTTTATGGGGAATTAGTTGGAAAAAATTATTATGAAAAAAAGGAAAAAAAAAAACTTGTAAGGGGCCGGAGTGGAGACCATAACTTTCCCGACTCCCCGTTAAGCTGGGGGTGATAAAAGTCCTTCTCATAAATTTAAAGTAGACCCCCAAAAAAGGAATTACTTGCAACAACGGCTAGTAACCACTTTGCTTTTAAAAGGGGACTATACTCTTGACATTTTTAAAGATAAAACCCAATTCCTTAGTTACAAGGAAGGATCGTTCCTTTTCCTTGGGGGAAAAGCTCTACTCTTGCTTTGGGACTTTCCTTGTAGTCTAGAGGATTGATTTTTGGGCAATCAAAGGGGGTCCTCCCCCTTTCCCCCATACCTTTAAAGATTTTTGATTTAAAATGCCCCTTCAACATAAAACAATTTTAAAAATTTTAAAAACTATTTCATGGGGGGCTCGATTTGAATTTGGGTTTTTTCTTTGGGTTTTCTTTTTACACGGGAGTGA